ACAGTAACACTACACCCCCTCACAGTAACACTACACCCCCTCACAGTAACACTGTATCCCCTCACAGTAACACCACACCCCCTCGCTGTCACACCACACCCCCTCAAAGCAACATCATATCAATGTCAATGTCACCAAACTCCATCATAACAGCACGCCAGATCAATTAAAGTAAATAATCAAAACTTCATTAGCATAAGCACAGTTAGTGTTTCCAAACTGGGCCTAGGTGATACAAAACGTAACACAATCTCTTAACTAGTTCTGATCGATTGAATGACTTCTTACAGATTAAGAGGTATTAACTAACACTTAAATTCTTGAGATGAAGACATAACCCACAACTTCCACAGAATACAAGAACTTATATCTCTGTTATTCTGACTGTGAGAGACTGACATTTACTGAACACTCATCATACTTACCAAAATCAGAACACGCCCCCAAATGTGACTGGATATTCCCTATTTTAAGCAGGAATCCCTGCCCAGTACCTGTCTCTGGGCCAGCTGCTCCTTCAGGCTGAGTCGGGCCAGCTCCGGGGACGTCAGGGTCCCTTGGGCCGATTCCAGGGCCGCTTGCAAGTCCCTCACCTCCAGCTCCAATCTTTCCATATCCTGGGGAGCCGGAAGAGTCACATGACACAGCACACTGAATGAAGCTCTCGGCTGTAATAGTCAGGCTCACCCATTCAGCCTCAGGCTTTTCATGTATCCTTTTACAGATGGTTTATTACACTTCCACTTCAGACAAGCCTGCAGGGATGCTGGGTTTTACTGATATATGAAGAGAAATGGCTACAGAAACTTAAAATTACCCATAATGCTGAGAGGGAAAGGTGAGATGAATGCTTTAAAACTGACATAACTGGCTATGACACAATGCTAACTGGGAAAGGCTGGGCAAATGCTTTAGAACTTACACAATTACCAATGATTCACCATTCTGAGTAGGAAAACTTGCAAACAATGCAATATTATTTAAAAGGAATATAGGGCATAAATGAATACTGCTAGATCTATCTCAAAGAGCTTAGCTGGGTGGTTCTCAGCCTCAAACCGACAGGCAGAATTAGCACCATGCTGCCACTCAGATCCCACATTTCTGCTAGATCTTATTAAGAGATTATGAATAAAACCCAGGACACCTTTTTAATTCACCCTGACTGCCCACAACTTTTGGCAGCGGCAGTATGTGTTAATTCATGGTCATGTGACTCAGACGATGCCTAATACAGCAGATTCTTGAGGAATGTGACTTTGCATAATGAGTGTACAGACAGCTGGGAACAGAATGCTGACTGCATGGTCCAGAATATTATATGTATTGGTGCAGGATGTTCAAAGTGAGGGTCCAGAATGTTGATTATAGGGTGCAAGATGTTTGTCGCAATGTGCAGAATGTTGACTGCAGGGCACAAGACATTGACTGTAAGGTACAGGAAGCTGACAGTACGACGGGAATTCTGAATGTAGAGTTCAGGATACTGACTGTAATGTGCAGGATGCTGACTACAGAGTATATGATGTTGACTATAGAGTCCAGAATGTTGACAGGAAGTTGACAGTAGGGGCCAGTATGTTGACTGTACAATTCAGGATACTGATTGTAGGGTGAAGGATGTTGGCTACAGGGTCCAGGATGTTGACTATAGAGTCTAGAATGTTGACAAAATGCTGACAGTAGGAACTAAAATGCGGAATGTAAGGTGCAGGACGTTGGCTCTGAGGTACAGGATGTTGCTCACAATGGGAACTAGTACATAGACTGGAGGGAGCAGATTAACTGTGAGGATGATTCCCCTGAGATCTCAGGGACCATGTGGACTGACTCTAAGGAGCCAGCGCTACCTTGGCTGCATCCTGCAGGCTCTGAAGCCGTGTCCTGATGTTCTGCTGCAGCTCCTCCGTGTGACGGCCCAGCTCGGACACCTGCTGGTTCATGGCCTCCGTCTGCAGCACCTCCGACAGCAGGGCCGCCCGCTCGGCCATGGTGTCGAGGTTCGTGTGGAGCTCCCGGGACTCCTGCAGCACCAGCTGGCGGCCCAGCCAGAACGAGACCGCGGTCAATCACAGCTCGTCAGACTTCAATGTATCCCGCATGCAGCAAGAAATTGGATCGGCAAGAAACTAGATTTGGAGAAAGTGCTAAGGAAGTCTGTTGAGAGTTAGTTAACGGTTGGCCACTACAATTATGGATATGTGCTCCCTGTAGGACCTACCTGGTAGGTGTTTATCTGGTCCTGCAGCTGAGAGGAGGAGCTCCAGATGAGGCTATCCTTCACCACGGCCTCGGCTCTCTCTGTCCAGGCCATGACAAACTCCAGCATCTCGCTGAACTCGTGTACGTGGGAGGCAGCCTGAGGGCAGATGTGTATTATCATGTATTTATTTATATCAGACCGAAAGAAACATTTCCTCATGCATATAAATGAGCTTCAAAACAGTTGAGTGAAGGCACGGTCATTACATCAGTTCGGCCAAATAAATAAGAGTCTTTTCCTTATGTCATACTTAAGAGCATGCCTTGTGCTGGTTTTTTAATCATTCAGCCAATCATTTCTTTTCTTGCAACCTCAGTTTCTTAAGGACCTCGCCACCAGTTGACCAATTCTCCAACACGCCAGCTCTCTCTGCGGCATCCCGGCCAGCTTACCTTCTTCAGCCGTGCAGTTCTGTAGTCAGCCAGGCGTCCGGTGTGGTGGTGGATCTCCTTCAGCTTGGTGATGGCGTCCTTCAGCTGCTTGGATAACGTCGGGTTCTGCTCACCGAACTCTTGGACGGCGGCATCCAGCTCGGAAAGGCTCCGGCCGCAGCTCTCTAGCTCTTCCTTTAAGGCCTGAGACGAACACGGAACAGACTCTGCTTTGGCTGCTATGTGGACCTTTTCATGCTCATCCCAGGTATCGCAGCAATTACACAGCAGCTGAACAAACTCAAGTTCTTTACAAGATCTCCAGAACAAATCCAGTATCTTCACAAGATCTATTGACCAAACCCAACATAATTACAGGATCTAATGAACAAATCTAATATCTTTACACGATCTACTGAACAAACTCAATATATTTATGTGATCTCCTGAACAAACCCAACATTTTTACATGATCTACTGAACAAACCCAAGATGCTGCCTGAGACTTCAGCCTACATCCTTCAACCAAAAATCAAGTTCATTGAACACTTCCCAGTTGTACTTATTGCCCTGCTATCTCAATATTTCTGCCAGTAAGAGTGGGAATAATGCGAAATAGTGATGAAACTAATGTTGGTAAAACCAAGTCAAACAGTCAAGTGGTGCACGGGGACAATCAACCAGTTTGAAGGTGAGGGATTTCGAAAGAAACCAGCAATTACAATCTTCTTTGCACTTGACCCATTATGTCTCACACACTGCCTGCTCACCTTGGTTTCTTCTTTAGCCTGAGAGATTTCTGGGGCCTTCTCCTTCAGCTTGACAGAGATGATCCTCATCTTCTCCGAGATGTCATGGATCCTGCAGCTGAAGTCCTCCCTGATGTCTTTGGTTCGCTGTATTTCTCGCTCCCTCGTCTGCAGCTGTAAACAAGTAATCCATCAGAAAGCTGAAGTGTATTTTTTAGTGGTTACTCTATCCCCCTTTCATTTACCAGTGTTAAATTCCAACGGGGTTGACCCAGAGACTGAATAAAACTACAAACACACCCGTCAGGGGTTTCAAAATCTAATTTCTAACTATTTTTTCATGAAGATTTCACTCTTCCAATTTCTTTTCATGTTGATGTGCTGAATCACATGATTGGGTCAAAGCAGTAATTTTCCCAGCCAGTAGAGGGCAGTCTGTGGTACCTGCTCCTCCAAGGAGCCCAAGGTCAGCGTCACCTCGGCCAGCTGCATCGAGATCTCAGAGGGAAGGATGGTGTACAGGTCCAGGTACTTGCTCTGTTGCTGCTCCGCAATCCTCTCCACGTTCTGGCGGTGGGAGATCAACTTTCCATGCAGCACCTACAAGACCAAGATTGGCATTTAACACTGTGCTCAGGTCATACGGAGAACATCACCTATAGTGCCTCTATCTGATCTGCCTTCTTTAAATGAAAGCGTCACAGTTTTAATGAACTTTTAATTACTTAATACATCCATCTATCCAACCATCAATCGCAGGGAATAACCCAGGATGAGGTAACAACCCATCACAGTCCTGAATACATCCTCCTGTACATGGGCATCTTAGAAAGCACAGGGCACATGGCAGGGAATATTCTGGATGGGATTCCAGTATCTCACAGGGAACACACCCACTCCCACACTATGCACAATTCAGAAAGCTTCCAGAATAGAGCTGCAGTTACATCATTAACTATTAATCACACTGTGATTCTTCATCCTGAGCATTTTAATGACTGTGCATCAGCTCCAGCCCCTTTTCTGACACAGAGAAGCAAAGCTAGCACAGATGTATGGATGCAGGCCGGCAGCAGCACCTCCAGCTCCTGCAGCATGGAGCCCTCGTCAGTCGCCAGGCCAGGCAGCAGGCCCTGCGTGTCCTGGATCCAGGACTTCACCAGGCCCAGCTCACGCTCCACCTCCTCACGTTCCTGCAGCTCCTGCTGCACCTGGGCCCTGGTCCTTCGCACCTGCTGCAGGAGGCTGGAGACAGGACAGGCCATTATCAATGTTTAGCACACTGATCCTGGGGGTCGGGATTTGAACTCAACACCCTGCGATGCTCCAGTTTCTACATTCCAAAGCATTATTATTAGTACTTAGCAAGGTGGTGATCGGTGTGGCATGTGACGTGACCGAGGTAATGCTCAGCCCTCTAAATGGGCCACTGTCACAGGTGATTGCCCACCTGTCATATCGCTCCTGCATGGCCCGGATCTCCAGCAAGCTGGGCAGCTCATCCTCGCCGGACAGGGGCGTGGACACGGGCGTGGTCGGGGGCGTGGCCCTGGGCAGGCTGAGAGCATACTGGCGCAGCAGGGCGAGGGCGGAGTGCTCCCGCTCCACCTCCTGCGCGAAGGAGTCGTGGTACTCCAGCAGCGTCTGCAGGCCTGCCTTGGAGGCCTTCTCCACGGAGCCGTCGGGCACGCGGCTCTGAAGATCCTCTGCCACCACCAGCACTTTCTCCATCTAGGCCAAGGACACAAAGACTTAAACATGTACACAGCACAGCAACCTCACACACACATAAACACACATACGCACACACACAGTCCACTACTCATATCTTTGTGGGGACTGTCTATTCATTTCTATGGGCAAAACCCTAATGCCAGCAATGACAACCTTAACCCCTTAACCCTACCCAGCAAATAAAATACAAGTCGTTTTGCCATTTTTAGTTGTTTGATTGCAGTCACAGACTTTTATATAAATTAATTTCTCTTTGTGGGACCTGAAACAATGCAACCCACAACATCAAAATAACAGGTTTTTATCACATTGGGGGGATACTAGGTCCCCACAATATAATACATACATAACCCCCCCCACAACCTGCAGATATACCAGCACAGTGAGGAAGCTGGGTGTCTTCACACACTGCGGATGTTAAGCATCTCTGTGCCCCAAGAACACATCCCTACAGCTCCACATTCATGTTAAGTCAAATTTTCCAGTCTGTTTGCGTACCGTGCATCAGCTAAGTCATATTTCACACTGACCATGACCAACACGGCATGCAGACAATGTAACTGGCAGGCTGGTAACTAAGTCGGCTTTATTTAAAAAAATGTTCCACTGAAGTCAATGTTAAATGACATTGTAAATACAGATACTGCATCTGAGAGGCTGCCACTAAGTTACATGACTGTTTAGGCGTCATGCCATGATCTCATTTCCTCTGAATGTCACAGGAAGCCTGTGGGAACTCTGGAGCCGCTTGTGCAATGTTTTTCCCAACCCGAGCTTCCATTACATCATGCATTTCATGATGGGGGGACATGATCCAGGTCTATAAGATTCTAACAGGTCTGGATGCTGTTCAGCCAAATGGCTATTTCAATATTAGTTTAAATACTAGAACTCGTGGTCATAAGTGGAAATTAGTGGGAGAACATTTTAAAACAAATTTGAGGGAGCACTTCTTTACACAGCGTGTAGTTAGAGTGTGGAATAGTCTTCCTGCTAGTGTAGCGGAAGCTAAAACCCTGGGTTCCTTTAAATCAGAGCTAGATAAGATTTTAACAACTCTGAGCTATTAGTTAAGTTCTCCCCAAACGAGCTTGATGGGCTGATTGGCCCCCTCTCGTTTGTAAATTTCTTATGTTCTTATGAGGTTTTGTGTTGCTTTCGGGTTCCTGAAAGCTAGGCTAAGCTAACATTAAGAAAACACCTTGGCAAGGAACCACATTTTCGTAGAAAGTTTATTGCAGATAAGAAGAAAAAACGCAATCTGTGATGCACTGCAGATATAAGAGTAACAGATTTTGTGTATAAGGATTCTGTTGTTAACCTTAAAGAATCGCAAAGGGACATCACTCCATCACAAAGAACACACACACGGTGGGCTGGATTTGACCTTTGAACCCAGGAAGTGGAAGGCAACAGTGTTACACACCAAGCCACCATGCCTCTCTTAACAAACATGCTAAAGGCAGTACTGTCTATGGTATATGACCAAGCCACCATGATGGTACAAGGCCAGGCTGCCCCCAAATGAGTACCTTCTCCCGGAAGTTCCTCCACTCGTGTGCCGTGGCCTCCAGGATCTTCTCCTGGCCTCGCGCCACGGTACGCAGCCGCGTCCAGCGTTGCCTCGCCGCCGCCACCGACCTGCCGATGGCGGCCCTGCTGGCATCGCTGGCAACACGAGCTAGCATGGCCGCACGCTCCTCCAGACCGACCAGCCCGTCCTGGAAGCTGTTCACCACCAGCACCAATGCCTGCAGTGGAGATGACGAGCTCAGATATTATCTCCGTCCTGTGAAGTCCTGAGCAGACATGGCTTCTTATCTATTTATAATAATATGGACTTTAAAAATAATAATAATAATAATAATAATAAATTCTGGTTAAATGTTTTTCATTTAACAACGCATTTCCTTCCTGGAACAAGACACGTGAAAATCATAGATCACCAATCTCCAAAGCTTCCTGTCTCAGTAATAGTCCCACCTTGTGCTCTTGCAGCTTGTCCTCTGCCTCCTGCCAGGTGGCAGCTTTGGCCGTGGAGAACTCCGCTAGCTTCAGCTCTGCCTCGTTCATCTGGCCGACCACCTCCTGCCTGGCGTCCTGGTAGGTCCTCCACTGAGCTACACAGCTGAGGACAACACAGGAGTCAGAGACTGTCGCTCTACTAAGGGGACCCCACCAACAGCCTGACATTCTGGCTCCATAAAACCCTGATGATCTCTAGTTAATTTCACCATTCCCCACATGACTGCGTCTGTGCTTTCTCTGGTTCCAGCACCTACAGCTTAGCACGTCTCCATTAGATAATCTTCTCTGTATAAAATGGCTTTTCAATATGCCGAAGTGTAATTTCAATCCACGTCACTTTCCGTTTTCGTAGGCAACAAATGATCTTCAAGTTTCTTGTCCTGATGGCATCCCTAACCTGTTCAAGATGTCCAGGTGATCCTGCAGCTGGGCATTGATCTCCTCTCCCCTCTGCTGTGCCACTGCTGCCTTCTGCCTCAGCAGCTCACTGGCCCCGGGGCCGACTAGGGACTCCAACCGGACAGCCAGTACCTCCAACTCCTCCAGGCGGCCCAAGAAGCCGTGCTCGGCCGCCGCGACTTCCGCTTGCCGCTGAAGGGCCTCCTCGCAGCTCTCCACATCCACCCCGAGGCTGGCCTCGTTCAGCAGGGCCTGGGCCTCGTCCAGCCACCCGCTGGCGGCCTGCATGGCTGAGTGGTGCTCCTGACATAGCGCTGCAACCTGCTTCAGCGTGGCCTGCGCAGGGGAAGAACTGAGCTTATGGCCGGAAAGTTCCAGAACAGGATGGTCAGTTGCTCAGTCGACAGGTACTTTATTCCTAAGCTATTTCGGTATTTTACAGTTTTACCCATTTATACTTTGGTATCTCAGTATTTGAAGTTTACACATTACCATGTTCAAAAGTTTCATTCATGGATTTATAGCTTGAAACTTAGTTTAAACTGATCCGGTAGGCTTGGGTGGTATGACAGTATTACGGTATAGCCCAGTATTTAGAAATCCTGATGGTATTATTTTTAATACCATAAAAAATACAGACGCTCCTCTTTCTATGAAACTGATGTATTGTGTTGCACGGTGTTAGTGGTGATTGAAGACTCATCGAAGGTTAAAAAAAATAAAAACATAAGTTAATGAATAACGTGCATGCGTAGGTGAATGCCACAAAAACTTAAATGCGCCGTGAATGCACCGTAAACTGTTGCAGCCTGCACAGCATACGTGAAACCTAGCGCACATGATCTTCTAACTCTTCAAGAAGAACTAGTGCACGTGATCTTCAACAAGAAGTTGCCACCTAATGAGACCGTTTAGACTATCGCCGATTCCGTAGTTTAAAGTAGTTTGTCATGTATACGGCATACGAGGGTGAAAAGTCTAGAAGGTATGACGGTATAAAAAAATTATACCACACAAACCTATGATGCAGTTAATATCAAGATACCTAAATTAAAACATTTATTCAAGAAGGATAACAATGATCAATAAATGAATAATTCAAGATGGGACTCCAACCACTTAACACTTCGAATGACATGGTCAGTCTGATTACTGAGCCTCACCTGCTTATCACGAATTTCTTGTTGGACTTCCCCCTCCATCCTTGCTATCTCCACCAGACTATCATCCACGTAAGGAGGCACCAGCTCATTGACACTGTTGTACTTCTGCTTCTCCCTGCTGCTCAGGGCAGCCACAATCTTCATCCTGGACTGTACCTCCTCCTGCACCATCTGCTGCTTTCTTATCTCTTCCTGCACCTTCTGTACTTTCATCTCCCGGACCATAGTTACATCTAAGTTGTCCTTTACTTGCTGGAGCCAGTCCAGGGTCCTTCTCACCTCTGCTTGAAAATCTGCACTCTCCACGAAGCGGTTCTCACATTCCGTAATCCGTTCTCCTACCGTCGACTGGAGGAGCTGCAGCTGTTCCTGCCACGTGTTTGCCTGCAGTCTACAGGCTTGGTGCTCGGCCTGGTCCAGGTGAGGGGTGAGAGTCTCCATCAGCTCCACAACCCTCTTTAAGATAGAGCCAGCGCCCTGGAGACTTCCTGTCAGGGCGTGGAAGTTCTTCAGTCTTTCCTCCCCCGGCTGAGTTTCAGCACTAACTTTGGCCAGCTGGTCTTTTGCAGCATTTATCTCAGAGTCCAACTGCATGGCAAGAACTTTGTGCTCTTCAAAACATTCCAGTGTGCTGTCCAAACGTGCCACTCTCTGTTCGACAAGCCTCTTCAGTCCATTGTGAAGACTCACCAACTGGGCCATCTCCTCGGGCCTCCAGGGCTGACCCGTGCTACGGAAGCCCTCTTTCTTCTGGTTCAGCTCATTGACGGCTAGGCTCAGGTCTGCCAAGTCACTAAGGAGAGACCTATAATCATCCCGAAGCTGGGCGATGTCTTCTGCCTTCAAGCCTACCGGTTGCTTCCCCAAGAATATGAACTGGTCCTCAAGTTCCTTCAATGCCTTGTGTGTCACTTCAATGAAGGATGCATAGTCCTTGCGGGAAAGAATGGCCTGCTGGATTTTTTCCCGTTTTTCTTTAGCCAAAGCTAAAATGTTATTGTACTGCTGTGGGAGAGCATTGAGCTTTTCATCCAGGTAACAGTGGTCGACCTCGTTAAGAGTGGGGAGTATCTCCTGCCCGGCTCTCTGGACGATGAGCAGAAGATTCTCATATTCTGTGGCCTGCTCCAGTATCTGCTGATATTTCACAAGCTGCACGTGCAGCTCCGCGTCACCGTTCATGAGGTTAATTTCGGGAAACGTCACAATATCTGCCTGTTTCAGCCATTGGCAGGTTTTATCCAGATCCACCTTGAAGTACTTTCTGGACACGAGCATCTTCTCGAGCTCTTGCAACCTTTGGGTACACTTCTGCAGCGCCATCTCGAAGACATTCTGCAGCTCCTGCAGCTTCGCCGTGATCTCCACCTTCTCATCCTCAGTGGCATCCTTTATCAAATCCCGTCCCTGGGACCAGAGGGAGGTGAGCTCACTTTGGTAGGCCCTGAGGCTGCTCTGGACACCGCGACACACCCTGACCTGTTTGCTAAGGTCATCGGGCAGAAGGGCTATGTGATCCTCAGCTAATGCCTTTCTCTCATTCTGCTGGACCCAGGTGGTGGCCTGGCCCACGGCTAGCAGAAACTGTGTTCTCTCTGTAAACGCTTTGCTCAGATACTTCCTCCGCTGGACCACCTTTGCACTCAGGCTTTCCACCTCAGCCTGAGTGTCCGAGATGAGCTGCTGTAGTCGCTGACGTTCGTTCAGGCCCAAATGGGCCAGCACTCTGTCCGCGTCTGATACAGCCTGGACTAGCAGCAGCTGCTTGGCCTCCAGCTCGCTGCAGACGCTAAGGTGGTCAAAGAGGAAGCTCTGAGCCAGCTCGGGGGGTGGGCTCATCTTCATGGCTTGGGACAGGGCCGGTTGCTGCTCTTCTGCCCACTCCCGGGCCTCCCTCAGCCTGGACTCCACCTGGTTCATGTCCTCCAGGGTGAGGGCAGATTCCTGAATCTTCTTCTCAATGAGGCCCTCCAGCTGGGCCCAGCGCTGCTCAAAATGGCTGACCTGCTCCTTTACCAGCTCCTTGTCATCCAGATTCAGCCGCTGGATGACCCTCTGCCTGTGCTCCTTAAGTTCATCCAGAGTGCTCCTCTGGTCCTCCAGGGTCAACGCCAGCTTCTTCAGAGCCTCTAGATGATCTGAAGAACTCTCAGTGTCCGTCCTGAAAAGCAAGCACACAACCAAGATCTAATTCAGAAGAAGGCAAGAAAGAGAAATGAAAAATCAGCAATGTAAAAAATTAGAAATGTGACACAGAATCCATGCGGATGAAATGGTTCCATCACCACCTAACATAGCCTATTTTAGCAGGGGAAGAATGACGCCACCATTAAAATAACTGTCGATGAAAATGAATCTGTGAGCTCACCTGGCCAGGTTGTCCCACTGCTTGGACACCTGCTCAAACAGCAGCTCCACAGTGTTGATGCAGTTATGGTAGTCCTGTGTCCTCCTCAGATCCTGCTCCGTTTGGCCCAGCTGCTCGTCGGCCTGCTCACACAGCTCCAGCCAGGTGCAGCTGAGCCGCTCCACCTCCACATGCTCTGGCGAGTTTAGCCCCTCTGTCAGCCGGCTCACTTTCTCCGTCATCCGAGCCAGGGTGCTCTGCTCCTCCTGTAGCCGCAGGCGGAACTCCTGTAGGGCAGAGGGGTGACTGTAGCTGGGGCAGCAAAGCTGTGGCTGACATTACAACTGAATACAATTCTGGCCAACTCGGCAATGCCTTGCTTATTATGACGCAATCAGTATAATCCGAATATCATGAATTGCCCCAATGGAAAGGAATCTTTGGAAGGAAAAGTCTCCTACAGCCTCTGTCTCGCGGGAGTTCTACATACTGTACACATAAATGTTCTGAGGGTAGAACGAAAAATGATTGGTTCAGAGAGATAACCAATCAGATTGTAGAGGAGGTGGGTCCACACCCAGGCGTGACACATCACGCATAACTACTGGCAATTTTGCAACTCTAATTAACCTCAGCATGTTTTTGGACTGTGGGGGGAAACCAGAGTACCTGGAGGAAACCCCACAACTCCACATGGAGAACATACAAACTCACACTACATACATGGAACCGCGGCAGAGACTCAAACCCCGGTCCCAGAGGAGTGATGGAACAGTGCTAACCACTGCACCATCGTGCCAGTCCCGCTATAGAACTTTCAGTTCCTTATTTTTTACATATTTATTATTTTGTTACTTTTATGTCTTTATTTTTTCACAATATTTATTATGGCAAAGTTCACCACCTTTCATTTCACTACAGGTAATAGTCTGACTTAAAGTCTGACTTGCATGCGACAAAGAAAACCCTTGAATCCCTTGAACTGAGCCTTGGGTTCTTATAAGGTAAAGCCGACCAGTACCTGCGTCTGAACCACCACGTTCTCGGCGATCTTTATTTCCAGCTCGGCCGGCCTTCTGCTGAGGTTCTGCAGCTGCTGCTCCATGTCCTGGAAGTGAGTTTCCAGCTCAGATCTCTGCTCCTTGATCTCCTTCCAGCTCTCAGCCAGGTCCTGGGAGTCAGACATCCTCTTCTCTATCTGGAAAGGGAGTCACAGCGGGTCTGAGCTACGCTTGTGCCGGAGGACCGTGTGCAGATCTTGAGGTAGACCTCTGGAAGACGTCCCGTGGAACGAGGCCGTCGGTTCCACGATGAACGGCTGGACGTCGGGCTGCTGGCTCACCATGAGCTTGACCTGCTGGATCTTGGCTGCTGTGTCTCTCACCGCTTGGTCAGACAGGTCGCAGACCGAGCAGACCAGGTCCAGGTAGGTGCTGCCCTGTTCCTGGAGAGCTCTGTCATGCTTCACCTACGCAGGTAGCAATATATCAATCACTCAATCAATCAATAAAAGTACAAGCATACAGATATACTATGCAGTGAAATGTTTGCGTAGTTCTAAGACTGAACAGGAAATGTATAAAGTATAAAGAGACAAGACATTAAATGATAAACAAAAACAACAGTCATAAATATCACAAATATGCAATATTCATTCAATCGCACATTTACTTTTTTTCTTATCTATACAGATTTGATGAACAGGATCTTTACTTTTTGCTGAATCAGTAAAAATCGTCAACTGATTAATTAATGCTGCCAGGATTTTTGCTTATAAGCTTCAGACTGAGAAGTTTGTCATTAAAAAGGTAAGATATAAAGCCTTAGATTGCTTGTTCCTTTCTTGAGTGAGATTATTACCTGTCATTGGTTACATCACTACTTCCCATTGGATTGTGGGAGAATGAGACAAATAGTGGCTGGCAGTGCCTAACAATCGCTCATTGGAAATTTACTTACACAAAAATGTTCTGGGGGCAGAACGAAAAATGATTGGTTCAGAGAGATAACCAATCAGATTGTAGAGGAGGTGGGCCCAAGCAACTAGAGTAGGTGTGACCAGCCAATCAGATATCTTGCCCCATTTTTGTGCAAGTAAAATTCCCACAACCCTAAGAATCACACTTATTTTCTTCCATTTGCTAAAACCAAAACTCATATTCCACAAACTTTAAATAATATGATAAATAGCTTGTGTCACAAATGCAAATGTCATAAAATATTATTATCCTGAGGCAAAGTTTGCTAGAAGTTCATTTATCATGTGACTTCGGTCTGCTCCTGTTCAGCTGGAGGTGGCTGACCTGCTGCAGCGCCTCCTGCAGGCTGACGGGGGCCTGTGCATGCCGTAGCTCCTTCTGCACCGAGGCCAGCCAGGTCTGACATTGCTGCAAGGTGTCCTTATGGCTCACGTGCTTCTGGAGCTCGCGGTCCAGGCTCTGGTACACCTACACACACACACACACACACACACACACACACAAAAAAAACAGACCAAGTACTTGTCACTTCTTAGCACTTGCTGCTGGAAATCAGGATCTGTCCAGATGAAGACTTGGAATGTATCATCTGGAGAATTTACAATGGACCACCTGGCTGGACTGGTCTACAATTGAACATCTGCAGAGCGTATTCACAACCACAGAAAGTAATGCAGGATTTAATGCCAGCCTACACACTCACACTGAAAGTGATACCATTCGGCACCATAAAGCAGGATGTAATACCAATCTGTTACATTATGGGTAGTAAGCATATGGCTGTGAAGCTGTTTTTCATAAGAATGGCCCAGCGCATGGGGTGTGGGGGGGTGCCTGGTGTTGGAGCACCCACCCGCTGGGCGGTGCTGCAGATGGCTGAGTAGCTGTCCCGCGTGCCCTGCTGGTGCGCATGGACCTGCTGCCGGACCTTGGCCTGCAGATGGTCGCTGCAGCTGGCCACCAGGTCGTCCCCTAGCTCCTTCAGGCTGCTCAAGCGCTCCTCGAAACCAGCAATCTCCTCCATAATGGCCTACATGGAGAAGAAGATGGGGCTGGGGATTAATGCGGGGACTGGAGGCTGGCTGTGCTGAGAGGGAACGAGTTTTTTGGCAAGCCAACCTTAACTCGCCTATTAAGTAACTTCCTGAAGAGATCTGAGGTATAAATAGAGAACTGAAGAAGCACAGACGTAGAACTGAATGACTTTTATAAAGCAAACACAAAATGTATTCATCTTGCTGTCCCTCTCTCAGCAGCCAATAAGATCCAAGGATTTTCATGCATCGGGATTGGTCATTCATGACCGGATGGGTGGTCACATGGGTACGCATTCAGCCAACTGGGCGTCACCTTGTGCGCGGCCAGCTGCTGCGTGGCCCCCTCCATGCTGCCGCTCTGGGCGGGGTCGAACGCCACCATGCGGCTTGACATCTGCAGCAGCCACCTCTCCACCTCTTGCAGCTCCAGGTTGTAAGTCTCGTGTTCCTTCACCTGCTCCGCCAGGCCGGCCACGTGGGCCTAGCGCACAGACACAAGGTGGCGTTAGTGTGCCCCCAAGGACATGCGATCCCAGCCAGGTGAAGCTACATGGAAATGTACATACTGTATGAGCCTCGCTGACCATGAGGACAAAGCAGCTTTGAGGTCTAATTCACAGAAGTGGCCACCAGGTCATCCCCTATTATTACTTAAATAATACAAAATATACATCAAATACCTCACAGAACAAAGACTGTAGACACTTTTATCAGGACTATTGAGAGCTTGGCTTTGCAAAATACAGACCCCTGGAACTCTACAACCTCAACAGTTCAAATACAGAGAATAATGCAGTAATTTTATGTATGATACACGTACTTTAAGTACCCCCTCTGCACACTGTTACCACCTCCATCCGTGTCCACAGCTGGTTCTACCTCCCCCATGTCCACGTCTAGCCCCGCCTCTCTAACGGGTCGGGATGCTGTTCAGCCAGATTACTATTTCAATATTAGTCTAAATACTAGAACTCGTGGCCATAAGTGGAAATTAGCGGGAGAACATTTTAACACAAATTTGAGGAAGCACTTCTTTACACAGCGTGTAGAGTATGGAATAGTCTTCCTGCTAGTGTAGTGGAAGCTAAAACCCTGGATCCTTTAAATCAGAGCTAGATAAGATTTTAACAACTCTGAGCTATTAGTTAAGTTTGCCCAAAATGAGCTTGATG